GTGACTCATCCAGTGGATACTGAATTCCATTTATGTGCACCTTTTCCCCCTTGGAGGGACATAAAGAGTGCCACAGATATTCAATCCTATTTTTGCCTCATTCTTATGAAAGGATTAGCGGTCAAAAGGGAATAAAAATGAAGTCTAGGATTCTGTTTGAATTACTTGAAGATTCAGACTGAACACCAGATTTTCATTTTTCCAGTGTCTTCTTCTCCTCACTTCCTTATTCTTGATGGTTTTTATTCTCTTTGGGATTTATGATAAGTGACTATACTGGAAATTAGACCAAAATCATTGCTATCACTTGTGCTGTTTCTTAATGAGTCACCCAAGCTTGAAACGTCAGTAGAGTCTCAATTCCTTCAAATAGTTCCTTCCCACACAACTAGACACTCAAAAAGTATTCAAGACATTGAAGAAGCTTGGTCGGTGAACCTCTGGAACCCACTGATGCCAAACTTATTGCTGTTTAACCCTGCTTCTTACTTCCTGGGAATAATTAGCTCTGATCCCCCTCTCCCCCATCCCCGATCCATTCTTGGCTTAGCCTGTAAATAATGCAAATAATTGGGCAATTCCCATAAGTATTTGATTTTCTCCTGTTCCGGTCCTGATTCCTTGAAGTCAAGGAAATTGGTGAACAGAGTAGTTGACTCAGTGCAATTAACATATAGAGCTGAGCCACACTATACAGTCAGGCAGTCATACCTAACTAACGTGCTCCCTGGTTAAGCAGGTAAAGGAAACATGATTTAAATCACGCCAAGCCATCTTCCAAAGTCACCAGGCCCAGAGCCACCTCCTGATTGGCTTCCTGGCTCCTGTCCTGTTTCCTATGTCCCATCTTCCACTCAGCACCCGGTGTTATTTCCCATGGCCTTTAAAATGAAGTACAGTCATCCCTGGCAATCCATAGGAAATCAGCTCCACCCCTGCCCTCCCCCACATGAAAATCAAATCCTTTATATAGAATGACAAATAACTGCACACAACCTACACACAGCTTCTGGTATACTTTAGACCATCCCTGGGTGACTTACAATACCTATCACAATGCACACGCTATGTAAATAGTTGTTAGACTGATTGATAGAAAATAATGACAGGAAAAAAGCCTGAGCATGCTCAGTGCAGACACAATTTTATTCCTTAACATTTTCACTTTGTGTTTGCAGGAATCAGCAGGTGCAGAACCCATGGGGAAGGAGCCCTCAGATATGGAAAATGGACTCTACATACTTCTTGGTATGGCAGACAAGCCCCTCAGTGACAATCCCTCTGTCTATTTAATCTCACATTTTGCAGTCACTCTCACTGCTCTCTAACCTTCCCTATGCCTCTCAGTCCTCCTAAACTTTCACTTCCTAGTGCATCAGAGTGATGACCTACAGACCCTTGCGCACGTGCTAGCCCCCTTGGCTTGAAGGGTAAGCCCTAGGGAAAACTCTGCCACATCTATCAGGACTCAGCAGAAAGTCTTTTCCATAGAAGCCTGGCCTGACCCTCCCTCCGCACTAAGACTTGGAGAACTTTCTCCTGTAAACCCAAAGTTCATACTCTCTGCTTTCCCTATCTTCCCACATACCACATGATGTTGAAATGGTCTTCCTGAAGGTAAGAACCCAGAGACAAGGTGTCTGCTTTCACCACTACATTCCGTTCCAGCAAAGCATCTGGAATACATCAGGTGCACAGTGAGTTATCTTTATTGGTTGAGTGAGTAGATGAAAGAAAGGTTCTGGTCATTCAGCAAGGGAGCTGCATGAGAATAGAGGCTTTGTTCTGCTCACTAGTCAACAACACTGAGACCTTTCTGAGGACAGCTGAGGGCAGCTTGATGGAGTGAAAAAGTCAGGTATTGCCCATGTCCTTCCACACATCCCTAGGGTCCAGAAAGCATTTGAGAAGTACAAAGACTTAGCTCAATCAGGAAACAATTACACTCACCTTTTGTGTCTTTGCTATTTGTCACTCTTTATAAAGCAAGACATTTATTTTTATTTACTAAGGGCTTATTTTTCTTTAAAACCATCTTTGAAAATTATGATAGATGTGGGGGCTGGCATTGTTGCATAGCAGGTTATGCCAGAATTCCATATAGGCACCGGTTCAAGACCTGTCTGCTCCACTTCTGATTCAGCTTCCAGCTTGGGAAAGCAGTGGAAGTTGGCCCAAGTTCCTGGACCCCTGGACCCACATGGGAGACCTGGGAGAAACTCCAGACTTCTGGCTTCCGCCTGGCCCAGCACTGGCTGTTGCAACCATTTGGGGAGTGAACCAATAGATGGAAGATTGATGTTTCTCCTCCTCCTCTTTCTCTTCCTCCTCTCTTTTAAACAACTAACTCTGCCTTTCAAATAAATAAAAAATAAATATTTTTAAAAAAAAATTATGATAGACAAATAACAATGAGAAAGGATAGGTGGCTCCACTTTTTGCTAGAAGGCAAGTTTTTAATGGTTTCCACTCTGGTTTACCAATGTTATGATAAGAACAGTAGAACATTGGCCAGTGCCGTAGCTCACTAGGCTAATCCTCCACCTGAGCTGCCAGCACCCAGGGTTCTAGTCCCAGCTGGGGCACCGGGATCTATCCCGGTTGCTCCTCTACCAGTCCAGCTCTCTGCTGTGGCTCAGGAAGGCAGTGGAGGATGGCCCAAGTTCTTGGGCCCTGCACCCGCATGGGAGACCAGGAGGAAACACCTGGCTCCTGACTTCAGATCGGCACAGTGTGCTTGCCGCAGCGCTGGCTGTAGCAGCCATTTAGGGGGTGAACCAACAAAAAGGAAAACCTTTCTCTCTCTCTCTCTCTCTCACTAACTCTGCCTGTTTAAAAAAAAAAAAAAAAAAGAACAGTAAAACAAGCTGACTCCAACAGGCTGCCCTCAGTGCCTCCTGAAACATCTTGATCTTGCTGAGTACAAGCAATATCAAGACTAGACAATACCTAGTACTTCTCTTTTCACTTAAAACTATCAAGATGATGTCCATTCTTCCCATTAGTGTCAAAACAGGATGCATGCCATCATCCACAACTCGGATATCAGAATCACAAGCATGAAATAAATCAGCAAATTGTTGCTGAGAATATAAGAAAGCATGAGGGGCCGGCGCCGAGGCTCACTAGGCTAATCCTCCGCCTCGTGGCGCCAGCACACCAGGTTCTAGTCCCGGTCGGGGCGCCGGATTCTGTCCCAGTTGCCCCTCTTCCAGGCCAGCTCTCTGCTGTGGCCAGGGAGTGCAGTGGAGGATGGCCCAAGTGCTTGGGCCCTGCACCCCATGGGAGACCAGGAGAAGTACCTGGCTCCTGCCATCGGATCAGCGCGGTGTGCCGGCCGCAGCGCGCCAGCCGCGGCGGCTATTAGAGGGTGAACCAACGGCAAAGGAAGACCTTTCTCTCTGTCTCTCTCTCACTGTCTACTCTGCCTGTCAAAAAAAAAAAAAAAAGAAAAAGAAAAGAAAAAGAAAAGAAAGAAATAAAGCATGAGGCTTGGGTGTTGAGGGACCAGATGATCATTTCATTAAAAGTTTACTGCAAATTGTGATCATATCAAAAATGTTCAATGCAATAGTGTTAGGGACATTAAAAGCTTAGTGACAGTAAAGCCTGACTTGAATGATTCACTAAATCGGCAACAACCACAGAAATCACAAAGAGAGATTATTGTCCAACTCAAAAATCATTAATATTTACTTAAAGTCTTTTATATCAAAAGTCCTATTTTTACTAAACAGATCAATGAAAGAAGTAAAAGCCCTCTCCGCTTTTTTCCTTTAACAGGAGATCAAAGTACAACACAATGAGGTAATTGAATTTGCTTGAAATCAAATTTAAGTAAAGTATCTTTTTTTATTTTTTATTTGAAAGGCAGAGTTAGAGAGAGGCAGAAGCAGAAAGAGAGAGAAAGAGAGGGAGAGAGAGAGAGAGAGGTCTTTCATCCCCTGGTTCACTCCCCAGATGGCCGCAATGGCTGGAGCTGAGCCGATCCGAAGCCAGGAGCCAGAAGTTTCTTCTGGGTCTCCCACGTGGGTGCAGGGACCCAAGCACTTGGGCCATCTTCTATTGCTTTCCCAGGCCATAGCAGAGAGCTGGATCAGAACTGGAGGAGCTGGGGCTCAAACCTGTGCCCATATGGGATGCTGGCACTGGAAGCGATGGCTTTACCTGCTGCACCACAGAGCCAGCCCTGTGAAGTACTTTTTTTAATGTTTCTTTATTTATTTCTAAGACAGAGTGATAGAAAAAGAGAAAGAGAGGTCTTCTCTTGTACCCCTGCAGCCTCATGGGAGTTCTGAAAGAAACTCTGGCCTTCCAGCTTTGGCCTGGCCCCCAGCCCCAGCCATTGCAGCCATTTCGGGGTAAATCAGCAGATGGAAGATTCTCTCTCTCTCCTTTTGATCTGATGGATCATTCCCCAAATGCCTTCAATAGCCAAGGCTGTGCCATACCAAAGCCAGGGACTTGTATCTCCATCTGAATCTCCCACATGGGTGACAATAACCCAAGCACTTGGGCCATCATGCACTGACATCCGGGTGTATTAGCAGAAAGCTGAGCCAGAAGCAGAGTAGCTAGAACTTGAATCCATATGGGAGGCATATTGGTGGCTAAACCCATGTGCCACAAGGCCTGCTGTATGGAGCCTTTTTTTGAGTAGTTGAGCCTCAAAATGGGAACCCAGTAACAGTTGGATTAGTTTTTCGCTTATGTTATAAATAAAACTCTATTATGAAGACAAATTGATATAGGTCATGAACTGTTGCATTTTCACAGTCTTAACTATGAATCGTGTTTAAGGATACATTACAAGCTAGAACTTAAAGTAATAAATTTAGCCTTTGCCAATAACAAACTGCAGGCTAAAATCTCTCCCATCATGGATACCATCAAAGATGGGTACAGTTAGGACAGAAATTAAACATAAATATTTCCTTTCCCAATATAGAGTGTATAGACCATGAAATAATTCTTAACAATAAATATTTATTAACTAGGGTTTCTAAGAATGAATATGAAAAATCTTAAAATATAAAAATATAAGAAAATAATTTTATTCATGCAGCATTTTCATAGACAGTGAACATAGCCTAAGTCCATAAGCTTCTAAAGTGAAATGAGCTGGTTGGCTGGGAGGGGACAAGGTGTGAGGGGCCACTATGCAGTCAGGGTCACAGCTCTCCTGGTGGACTGTTGGGTTCCTGTAGGCTGGGTCTGGGTGGTGCTCCTTCTGGTGCTGGGCTTGTTACTTATACTTTTGATTGCTGTTTTCACCCACTTGGCTTGTGGATCAGCACAGACTTTTAGGCCACGTTTGGTAATAAAACTGCAATGGAAGAGAAAGACAGAAAAGTTAGCCACATTCTCTAAGCCTCAGGGCCTTAGGTCAGACCAGACAGGAAGAGTTCTTATGCAGAACAACGGGGAGAAATAGTCTTTCAGAACCATAAGACCATAAATGAACACCTTTCTTCTGGCATCTATCTCAACTCAAGGGAGAACTACCTCTAGAAAACTCCTTGGTTCATCCTAATTGACAGGCCCCTTTTCTCATCATCCAGTTTAATTATTGTAGCTTCTTCCATTCCAAAACTACATGCACTCATCTGATTTTTTTATTAAAGATAATGTATTTTAATTTTTGAGGAGAAATTTTGGAATAATGTGTTAGGAAGAACTGCTGCTTCTAAATATGAGGTCCTGGAAAGAAAGCAGTACCACATAGGCTGCTTTTTACCCGTATCCTTGAGCTACAGTAACTAATTAAGCACACACTCTTCTCAAGTCTACCCCTAACCATGGCTGTGTGGACAAGTCCTGACACAGGTCAGCCATCTGAAAACCCAGTCCTCAGAAGTAGGTGCAGAATTCACCTGATTCCCTATAAATTAAATTAGAATGGAGGACTAATCTTTATTTTCTGACTGCATTTTCAGAGGAATCATTATTTGATAGGACTTCAGGGAGACAATTAATAAGAAAAACTAAAGTGCTATTGGTTAAGTTGAGGTTTTCCTATATGTTGACCTATTTTTCCTGAGGAGGGCAGCATTTTTATCAACTGTGTTTCTGTATTTCTGTGCTTCACCAAGTCAGCTCTGGGGATTCAAACTCACATTACTGCTTTCATGGGGCCCTCCTTGATGGTGTAGGTCCTGATCCTGTTCACTGGCAGTGGCTGGGTAGTCAGACTGACACAGATACTCTTATCTGGAACTTCACTCCCCACACCTGAAGGGGAAAACAGACAAATAAGCATACAACTCAACAAATATCAAGCTCCATAGAACAATTGCCTGTTAGATTATTCTAACAGTGCTGTACAAATACAAGTCCAATTGCTCCTTGTAGAAGAGATGGTTCACATTGGTATTCTCAGTGTCTTACATATCATAGATTCTTAGCACATGCTTGACTAATTAAAAAAATTGAAATCATGGTATTATTTCAGGAACTTCATGCTAAGAGAAAATAACAAGGTGTTGTCCATCTACGTTTAGTTTCACCAGTACACCAATGATGGCTAGCAGATGCCCCAATGGCATTCATTCACTCATTCATTTATGCAACAGCTCTTCATTGAGTGCCTATCATGACCCTAGTATTTATAGCACTAATTAATACAAACATTGATCCTGTTTTCATGGAGCACATCTATGCCTCAAGTAGGCAATAAACAGGTAAACAGAGAAGATCATTTGAATTAGTTATAAGCACTACAGTGCTATAAATGAAGGAGCAAAAGAATCATGCAATGAAGACTCCTTTCAGCAAGGCGACCTCCAGTGAAGGGGGGCAGCTTTCTTTTCGCTGAGTAAAGGTGTTCTCATTTTAGGAAGTAGCTGCTAAAGCATTCATCCTCAACAGAAATGACCCAAGAGGAATTGAAGTCAAGTGTGGGGAATGATCTTCTATTGCAAGCAGCAAAACAACTTGGAGGAGTTAATAATATCAAATGTTTAGCAAAAATCTAATCAACATTTCTAAGTGCTGATTTTCTCCTTAGCTGGAGACACTGGCATTTGCTTCACAGAGAATCCCCAGCTAAAAAGCATCTAAAGTAGCCACCAGTGGTGATCAAGTTGTATCATCCCATCAGAAGGCATTAGAGAAAAGCGCCCAGGAGCATTGCTTTTCCTCATCTCTGATTTCTCATCCTCAGTGCCAGTCTGCAGGTTCTTGACTCTCTAGCTCTCTGCCAGTTTACTTTTCCAATGCTAAACTACCCCCGAACCCAGAAAAAGCCACAAGTCTGCATTTTTGCAGAATCTCTCAAGACCAAAGAATTCTATATTATTCTAAACAACAAAACATTTCTTTATTTTCAGCCATGTTACTGTGTCTGTATTAGCCATTCAAACATCACCTTTGTTCAGGCTATAAAGTTGAATCAACACAGATATTGTTTTGTTCCATTTTGGTCCATAAGAAGCTAAGTCCCGGTGGGAATTATAGAATTCCTTCAAGTAGGAAATTTGAGACAATATCTGCAGGTCTCCTCAGCATCCCTCAGATCTGGACCTGTATCACATAGCACACCTATTGTCTCGGCAAAATGCTAGCCACGTGGCAACACGGGACCTGATTTAGTAGTTTGAAACTGGGTTTCACCAGTATCTTTGGTTTTGTCCACAATTTCAAGAAGTTCCAGATTTTGCCACCTTTATTTATGGACTCTCTCAAGGATGCATGATCAGGTCATGATATTGTAGTTAAGTAAGTCTACAAATCAAGATTACACGTAAGTCTATAATTAACTCTGGCCAGAGCGAGGTTAATTAAAGCTGAATCTCATCTGTCTGTGTCTTGCAACTGTGTTTGCCTGTGTTGAAGCTGTCAATCTACCTGTTAGTATTCACTATCACCTGATCTCTTACAAGGTCAAGAAAAATGTATCACAAATGACAATATTCATAGCAGTGATAATAGACTCCTCTTCATACTTAAAACTAATATTAATTTTCCAGATATGAAGTTATGGATGCCTAGCCATTTTTTATTTTGCTTTTAAAAAATATATACATCATCTATCTCATTCCCACATTATAACTGAACTCCCAAAGATTTTGAGAATTTATCAAGATCAATGTTTAATGTACAAAACTATAAATGCATTTATAATCATCATCACCTTTCTGTAAATAATAAGCAAAAAGTATTATTTGTAGGGAGATCTAATATGATTAAAGAAGTCACAAATAAATAATCAGTCATAAAGTGTATTTAATTTTAATCCCAAAATAGAAAATCTGTTATTATAGTTGATTTTAGACTGATAAGCATAGGCCCAGAGTGGTTAAGACACCCTAAGTCCCCCAAATTAGGAACAGTATGAGCCCAGATACTAACCAAACTCTCCCTGTCTCAGGAGTCTAGAGTGGAAATTACCATTCCCAAAATGCACATGGAAAGCAGGAGAATTGAGAAAGCTGCTTATTCCACGTAAAAACTGAGCTAAACCCAAAATAGGTGCCCCCTGCCTCAAATCCCTGTTCTTATCCAGAGCTTCTCTGCTTACCTTCCACAATGGATGTGGTGAGACAGCAGATGCAGAGGAGGACCAGGAGCAGACGTCTCATGGCTGAGGTCCTGCTGAGCTGTGCTGGGAGAGTGAGGATGGGGCTCCGCAGGTGCCTCTTTTATTCCTCCAATGGTCAGCGCACTTCCTGTGGGGACAGGGGACTTTCAAGGTGGGTGTGGAATTGTGGAAAGTCTTTGCAATGCTGATGCTTTTTTTAATTAGAAAAAAAACTTCCTTTGCTCTGTTCACATTAACCCCACACCTTGTGGCCCTTTCCCTCTCCTGTGGTTAAACGTGTCAATGAAACCAAACCCATGCACAAAAGAAAACGTGGTTGTTTCTTCTCCAGCCACCAATCTAAATTCAGATCTTCCAGTGCAGACGTGCCCCACGGCTGTGGAGATGTCACAGCCTGGCAAGAGGACAGTGTAAAGGAAATAAGGTGGGAGCAGCCACTGCAGTCCAGCCAACCTACCTCCTGGGACGTGTGGCTTCCACAGCCTTAACTCAGGAGCCTCCTGTGCTCCTGTATGCCAAGGGGGGGCGGGGGGGAGGGACGCTGCTGCCACTCTGGAGTTTCTCACCCTCTGCTCTTTTTCTTCTCATTTCTCTCCTCTGCCCTTAGTTAAGTTGCCCCCGTTTCTTCATTTGAGTCTCCTCAGGTACCTACAAAACATTTAAATAGGTATTCTGAGTATGTCTATGTATGTATGTTTGCTTTATGGCACCTTAATATAAACACCTTTTTTGATCTTTTGAAAAGTTGTCCTGCAACAACCTTATTTTGAAAAAAAAATATATGATTTACCATTGTGATAATTTTCATTTTAAATGTTTTTTGTGACCCTCCTTTGGTATACGTATGTTTGCATAATTGTGATCAATACAAATACTATTTTAACATCAATTTAAATATTTCAGGGCTGGGGTCATGGCACAGCAATTGGGCTAAGCCACTGCCCACAAGTCCAGCTTCCCAAATCTGAGCACTGGTTTGTGTCCTGGCTGCTCCACTTCTGATCCAGCTCCCTGAGAACATGCCTAGGAAAACCACAGAGGATGGTCCAAGTACTTGGGTTCCTGCCATCCACATGGGAGACCTGGATGGAATGCCACGCTCCTGGTTTTGGCCTCAACCTGTCCTGGCCATTGCAGCCATTTAGAGAATTAACCAGCAGATAGAAATTGTAGAAAACATTTGTAATCTATACATCTGACAAGGAGTTAATATGCAAAATATATAAAGAACTGAAATAACTCAACAGCAAAAAGGAAACAAAACCACCAAATAATCCAATTTAAAAATAGGCAAATAATCAGAATAGAGATATCTAAACAGAGAACATACAAATGGAAATAGGTACATGAAAAATAAATGCTCAGTATCACTAATCATCAGAGAAAAGCTAATTAAAACCACAATGGAGTATCACCTCATGTATGTTAGGATGACTATTACAAAAAAAAAAAAAAACCAGGAGATAAACATCAGCAAGGATATGAAGAAGAGGAAACCCTCACATACTGTTGATAGGAATGTAAACTGGTAACAAAACATATTTTTTAATTTTTTTTTATTTGACAGGTAGAGTTATAGACAGTGAGAGAGAGAGAGAAACAGAAAGATCTTCCTTCCCTTGGTTTACTCCCCAAATGACTGCTATAGCCAGCACTGCGCTGGTCTGAAGCCAGGAGCCAGGTGCTTCTTCTGGTCTCCCATGTGGGTGCAGGGGCCCAAGCACCTGGGCCATCCTCCACTGCCTTCCCGGGCCACAGCAGAGAGCTGGACTGGAAGAGGAGCAGCCAGGAGTAGAACCCGGCACCCATATGAGATGCTGGTGCCGCAGGCAGAGGATTAACCAAGTGAGCCACAGCGCCAGCCCCACAAAAAATATTTTTGAAATCAAATATTTAATATTTTAATTAAATTGTTTTAATGCAACTTTAAACAAATGCCAACTGGAAGACCAAGCCCAGTAACTTTTAGAGGAAATAATTTTCTAAACAACACGAAACACCAAGGAGAGCTTCTTCCACTCTGGCCACAGTACTGCAAACTAGGAAAATCATTATGAAAAATAGCATTAGGTTCCTCAAAAAATTAAAAACAGAATTACCATATGATCCAACAACATCACAACTGAATGTATACACAAAAGAATTCAGTATGCTGAAGAGATATTTACACCCCCATTTTTCTTACGATGTTATTCACAAGAGCAAGATACGAATCAACCTAAGTGTCTACCAACAATGAATGAATAGATAAAATGGGGTACATACAAACAACAGAATCCTATTCAGCCCTAAGTGTGGGGGAAATCTAATAACTTGGATGAACCTAGAGGCAGAAATCATTAAAATAAGCCAGTCACAGAATAACAAATACCACATGATCTCACTCATATATGGAGCCTAAAAAGTGGATCTCATAGAAGACAATAGAATGGGAGCTACCAACAGCTGGGGCAGTTGCAGGGTGTTTTGGGGGTGGGAGTTCACAGGGGATTTTTTTGTGTGATTTTGTCTAAGAACACAAAACTTCAGTTAGATAGGTGACATTATCTATTGTACGACAAGTTGACATATTATCTATCTATTGTACAACAAGTTAAGTATGTACTGTATTTTCAAAAACAGCTGAAAGTGGATGTAAAGAACTCTCACCACAAAAAAAGCCATGTGAGGTAATACATACATTGTTTAGCTAGAGTTAGCCATTCTACAATGTGTATATACTTCAAAACTTCATGTTACTTATGATAAATACATACAACATATTTGCCAATTTAAAAAATAAGATAAAGTAGATAATTTTTAAAAAACCAGAGAAACACAAAGTCAGGAGATATACCTATGGCTTTATCACATTTTCAGTCAAATAGAAAATTTGGCCAGTGGCTAAATCATTATTTTGTGTATTGAAATTTAATTTCTTAAATTCCCAGAATGAATTATTCACTTTGGGTTTGTCAAAGCTACAGTAGGGGTTCTTGTGGAGAAGAATTAAGTCACCTACAAGACAATAGAAACCTAGAGTAGAGTGGAGATAAACTGATAATATGTGGACATCGACCTACAGTTATTAGTTAAGGGCTATTAGTCACAATAAAGTTCTTCCTCTGAGATGCTACGTCTGATCTGTCAGCAGATACCACTGGCTTTGTATCTCCAAAAGAGACTCCCAACAATTCTCACCTCCCTAAACCATTCTGCTCCAGTCCACCATCTTCTCTCATTTGTTCTCATGGGTTCAAGCAATAGCCTCTTAACTGGTCTCCATGCTGCCACCCTTATTCTCTTTCAGTTAATTTACCACGCCTTTCAAATGATCATCATATCACCCCCCTCCTCAGAATCCATAATGGCTGCCCGTTGTTATGGGTTAAATCCAAGTCTTCAAATTTACAAGTGTCTCCATGACCCATGCTCTCCTCTCCCATTCACTCGATGGCACCATCTCCTGTTCTAGAGACCTGTCAGTCATATACTTGCCTCAGAGCCTTTGCACTTAGTATTTTCTCTGTCTGATATTCTCTTTTTCAGATATAACATAGCTCACTCTAGCTTCTTCTATTCTCAGCTCAAATACTACTTTCTCATTGTGAAAAGTCACCCAATTTAAAAGCATGCATTCACCCCTCCTGGTGGGATTTGATCTATTTTTGCTGCTCTATTTTCATTCAGAACATTTACAAATAACAGTAATCTATTTTTTTATTTATTTACTGTCCATCTCCTTCCAAGAATTCTTTGTCTTTTTCATTGCTGTTTCCTCAGAACCTAGTACCTGACACAAAGGAGCTGCTCAGTTAGTGTGTCCAGAATCAATGTAAGTGTGTATGAGTGTGTAACAGCATCGGCGTACAAGCATCCATGTGCACATGTAAACATCAACATTTCCACCTGCAAACCCCAGTACTCTGCAACATTGATACTGTTTATGTATGTGTGACCATAGAGCACAATGATAAAATCCACTTTTAAATGAAAAGATTCATTATGGACAGAAGCCAACAGATGCATGAGGAGTGTATGTAAAGGAAACTCAATATGTGCTCTCTCTTTTTTTAACTTTTCTGGTCTGGATATTTGATTCACCTACAAAAATTACTTTTCATTTTGACATATAAAATATGCAATACATATAATTCCTCCCTTGCAGAACATATGGTTATGTGATTTTCCAATTTTCTACTAGGTAAGTTGTTTTTTTCTTACTAATATGTAAGAATTCATCATATATTTTTCCTACTGTTCCTTTGTCATAGGCATTGCAAAATTTCTTCTCAGTTTGAAGTATATATTTTCCCTATTTTTATTATGTCTTTGATGAACAAAACATATAATTCTACTGTAGTCAAATTTGTCACTACTTTATTTTAAAGTGTAGTTCTTTTGGTGCCCTAATAAATCCTTTCTTTTCCCAAAGTCAGAGAGTTATCACTTCCATTTTCTACCAAAAGATTTAAAGTCTTGCATTTGACATTTACATTTTTAACCTTTCTATTGTGAATTTCTGTATACAGTGTAAAATAGGGATCCAAAGGCATATTTTTTCTTTATATAATCAAATTTTCTGTCAAGTTTTGTATAGGTCTGTCTTTCCCACACTGTCTGTCAAATTCCAAAGCTCCACAGATCTGTGCAACTATTTCAGATTCTCTCTTCTGTTCCATTGGCTAATTTGTCTATCCCTCCCCAGCACCCTTCTATCTCAGTTATAGTAGCCTTACTGACATCAGCTTCCAGTAACTCAAGTTCCCTCTCCTTAATCTTCTTCTCAAGAAATACCTTGTCTTAAGCTGCCTTGTCATCATGAAAACGGAAATTAAAAGACCAATGTGTGACCCCATTTTCCACACATTAAACTTGCTAAAATGAAGAACCCTGATAATGATACTGTAGAAGCCAGGATATGGAGCAATGTGTATTACATATGGTGTTAGAAATTGACACAACACTCTGAAAAACAGTTTGACACTGATCCAGGAATTCTGCTCCTAGATATATGAGCATACTTGGATAAGTTCAAAGTAAGGAAGCACAAAAAAATAAGGAGTAGGTGTATGCTCAGGTCTATAGTTTGAGATTAATGGTGTTACATAATATAATTAATTCAATAAAGCAGGGTCATTTGTGGACCTATTATGATAATTGCATCA